TAAATCATAAAAACTTCAAATAAAATTCAAATAAAATTAAAGGTGAATGAAAGATACTTTGCATCGATATATTAAAACCAATCTTTTGATAAATTCTTCCAGCAAGCTCAAAACGAAGTTTATAAGCGAAATAGCCCATTGTAGAGGCAAATATTAAAGAAGAGGTAATGAAAGGAAAATCATATGATAAATAATTTGGATTAAGATTTGCAGAGCAAATATCATTTATTTCGTCAACTAGTCTTTTAATCTCAACCATATGTATCTAATCAAAAAATGATGAATTAATAAATTAATAAAATTAACGAATAGTAATCAATTTGAAGATGAGAAAAAGTTGATACCTACAAAACCATACAAAGACACTATTCCATTCATAACAGCAATAGCAATAATTTGGGTTACGTACTGATTAACTACCTAATTAATATAATATAATATAATAAGTAACTAGCATTTCTATTTATAGGAACAAAAAAAGAAAGTTAAACACACCGCATTTATTGCAAAATTAAACTGGAAAACTTGATATAATATGAGGAGGAAAACCTCCATAACAAATATAGACGTCTCTAATGAAGGTCTTTTCAGACTCGTACAATTAGTAGTAAACATAGTATCATTGTTCGTATAGTTTAAGTATACGAGGTTATATGAACGATTCCATAGTCTTAGATAGAAAAAGGCCATAATCATCAATTGGAAGAATGAAGTTAACACGAAACATTCAGTATTTCGTGATTCACTGATCCTTCGAAGCTATTAACATGTAAATTAAGTATAATTAGTTAATGATTGTATTAAAAAAAAAAAGACGAAGCATAACGAAGCATAACGAAGCATAACGAAGCATAACAAAACATAACAAAACATAACGAAACATAACGAAACATAACAAAACATAACGAAGCATAACGAAGCATAACGACGCATAACGAAGCATAAATGTCAGTTTTGCATACCTTCTTGAACCAGCTATTTCGTGAAAACAAAGACATCTTTGAAACTTTGATAGCAACAAATTATAATATGATGCGTTATAAAATAATTGTTTGATAAATTAACCATTTATAATAAAGTATGAGGGGGTTTTTAAAAGAAAAAGCTTATCAAGTTTGAATAAACTTTGAAAAAAAAAACGATCATAGGAAAATGAGATGTGTTTTCAGAATTCATCATATGTTTGTAGTTGAGATGGTCAAGAGGTCAGGTAGTTCGTATATAATTTAACATAATTTAATATGACACAAAGAAAAAAAGATTTTCACAGTATATATCGATGATATTATTTTAAATGAGAACATACGAAATCTGAAATATCATATAAAATGTTAGGTATGTGGGTAAATACATAGGTAAATATTGGTAAATTCTCATTTAAAATGTGATTCCACGAGGAAATGTTATACAAAGATGGAAATCCTTTATTTAAAATAGATATACATATGTACATTTTTTTTGTTAATCATGGGTTAATTATGTTAATCTCTGTTAATCTTGAGTTGATTAATGTTAATCTCTGTTAATCTTGAGTTGATTATGTACATTTTTTTTTTTTGTTAATCTTAAGTTAATACGTAGTGATTTCTTAAATTTATTAATTTTATTGGTTTTATAATATACGAAAACTCGGCTTTGGTAATAATAATAAACCGACCCGTTGGGAATTAGCGGAAACTT